TACAAATTTAAAAAATATTACTACTTATTTAAATAACTTTTGATCCAGATGGTCAATTGTTTCTATTTTTTTTTGTATTATTATTAAATGAAATTTAATAATAATATAGAATAGTCTGTAATTTTTTCAAGTAGTTCTTAACATATTGCATTTACCTTACAACCTCCTTAAGGGGATACTGGAGTGACAGCCAAACTTGATCGACGTCAAATAAAAAAGTCGATAATAGTAAAAATGTAAATTTTTAACTTTTTTTAGTATAACATTCTTGAGGCTTTCACGGGTGCTTTCTGTATAAAGGTTATGCGTTTCGCGGGTTTTCTCCGTGTCCAGATCCATTCTTGAGATGCCAACGTTTTGTGAACCTTGCAGTCCACTTCATCAGGGCGAGGAGCAGCCTGATACTGAGCTCAGTTCCGCAGGAATATACAAAATACCTTGTTCCTGCGGGAAAGTATACATTGGAGAAACCGGGAGAATGGTCAACCTACGGATCAAAGAACACTAATGTGATGTCAGATTAAAACACACCACGCAGTCGGCATTATCAGAACACAACATCGAAACAGGACATTAAATACTATTTGACAAAACGACCACAATAGCCAACAGTACATCATACTTTCCAAGAAAGTATAGAGAAGCCATAGAGATACAAAAACACCCTAACAATTTAAATAGAGATAATGGCTACAACATAAATAAAATATGGAAGACCATTCTCCCGATTATTGAAGACCGACCAATTCCACCATCTCTTTCCCCTCCCACAATCCGTTCCCCCTCTCCGTCCACCCCTACCACCCCAACAAGCAGCGTAATATAAAAAGGAACGGCCTGGAGGAACATATCAGGCTGCTCCTCGCCCTGATGAAGTGGACTGCAAGGTTCACGAAACGTTGGCATCTCAAGAATGGATCTGGACACAGAGGAAACCCGCGAAACGCATAACCTTTTTTTTAGTATAATTTTAGTATAAAGTCCATTGTAGCACCTCCCAATTTTGCGTCTATTTTAATACTAAACGATTTTTTATTCCGTTCAATAAATTCGGACCCAGATAGCAAGTTTCCTGCATGTTGCTATAAATTTAATACAAATTGCGGCGCTTCAGTTGCCATCTTTTTTTAGAAAAGCGGCTTCCGATTTTGCTTATAATATCGGCGGCAATATACTATAAACGTTTATGCGCAACTGGAAGGAAACAATTTCCTTCTCTCTTATAAGTTTCATAAGTTAGGACAGTCACACGGCAACATGATATAGAAATTAATTCCACATAAAACAAATTTGCTAGCAATATGAAAGAAACTGTTGCAGTAAAAAGGGTTAATCCCTAACAATGCTTCTCAATGTTTAAAATCGACTCACAAGAGAACTTTAAAGATATCTTTAAGATATCTCATAAAGAACTATGAAAGATATTTTAAAGTGATTTATGAGTTGATTTTAGACATTTTACTCATTGGGCATTGGGTTGACAGATGTAAGTTACTATAGAATAAAATTACAAAGTAGAAAAAAATACGTATTAAAGTATCAGGAGATTTCATTTACTCGATAAACATTTCAAAAAAAGTATTATGCTTTTATCTTAGAGCTCTTGGGGCTTACTTAAAAAAATTATTTCATTAGAACACAGCTGAAAAGTCTTTTAATGCTGCGTCTTTTATTCTATTCTACGTCCTTTTTTAAAATCGAGAAATTTAACTTGATGCATCCCTCTGGTGGCGATACCGCATACTGCTCGACGACGCTCCATTTCCATTTGATTGACAAAAATGTGGACTAAATATTTAAACAAAAACGATTTCCAGATTGTAGCAACATTTATGACAATAGGTTTGCTACAGTATTTCCGCTCGTTTGCGCAAATAACCGTTGTCCGCATGATGTCTTTAGGTTAATCTAAACGAAATTATTATTGCCCTGGTGACAGCAACATGATGGCAATTGAAAAGAAACTTGTGCTAAGCATTTATTTTTTTTCTTATGCCAAGAAACATTTTGTTATCTGGGGAGATTTATATATCGATCTGTAATGTCCCGACAATTTGGGCTGCGTTTCATGCATGATGCGCATAGACCGGTATTCATAGTCGATTCTTATTTCAAGACCATCTTAAGTAATGTCTTAAGATGCTAATGCGGCCCTCTGATTGGTTCGTGACATTTTAAGACTGAACTTAAGGCGGTCTTGAATATGTTACGTCCAAGCCCTTGGAAATACGTTTAAACGGGAGAGACAAGGATGGAGTTGTAGAAGGTATGGAAGGACGTTTAGACTTTATCTCGCAGGTATACGCGCAGTGGCGAACACCTGAGAGTCGGACGCACTTCCTATCCGGAATATGAGTCAACGTCTTGAAGGGACGCTATAACGCCTGTTTCCTTGAGCAGTGCGTACGTCGGTCCAATTTTGAGTCAAAGAAATGAATCTTTATAACTCGGGAGTGGACCAGGTGGGATCCTTGGGAAACGGCGAGAGTACGAGGTCTTTTGAATTTAAAAATTAACTGAAGGAAATCATATTAAATAGACTTTCGTTTTATTACTAAAGTAAACTACAAAGGAATGTGATAGTTATTTGTATAAACTTCATAATCTTAAATTTTATAATTAAATTAAAGTATATATAATTGTCGAGTTTGCACAAATTTTATAATTAAATTAAAGCATAAGTTTTGAATTTACACATATTTTGTAATCGAATTAAGTTACAGGTTATCATTAGGTTCGCATAAATTTCGCATAAATTTTATAATTAAATAAAAACATAATTGCTGAGGTTACATATATTTCGTAATTAAATTTAAGTTAATGATATTCATTAGATTTAGATTCATCGAAGAAAAACTTGACAAGTCGATATGGTTAGTGGTATATCTGTACAATTATTGATTACTTGTGCGCTATTGGGTTTGATAGTGTTATGTGTGTGTGTTGTTGGAGAGGCAATACATGTTAGGTTAATTAATTTCGTTAATTATGATGGAGGAAGGGGGAAAGGTGTCATTGAAGAAGTCAATGGGGACTAAATATGGGAAGGGAGAAGAAGGAATGTACACTGCTATGTGTATATCGGGAGGATGTCCGGTTATGGCAGCGCGGATTTCTTCAGGATCAAAGTAATTCGGGCCGATCGTGTAAGTGCCCGGCGGGAGAGGATTGGTGGTACGTGGGAAGCGGCTAATTACTGGGTCGAAGGAGTCACCCGGTTGGATGTACCGTCGGGTGAGTCTAGGGGGAGGAGCGGGGAATTCTTCAAGGATTTCCACGCTTGACGTGGAATCCGCGGGAGAGGATGGACGAGGCGATGAGGGAGCGAATTGGAGGAAGGAGTCAGGAGTGGGCGGTGGGGTATCCGGGAAAATGCGCTCCGTCAGAGCGTCTGGGAACGCAGGTGAAGGAGATATTGCCTCTATGTTTTCTATGTTTGATTGTTGAGGTGGAGGGGCCGGCAGAGCCGGTGGTGGTGAATAGGACGGTTGAGGCGCGTCCTCGATTCTAGAAACGTCTCTAAGGTACTCCTGGAACGCTACGTCCAGGAGTTCTCGTGCCTCGAGATAGGCCCGACTTCGGCGCCAATCTCGGGAAAGAGCGGGAGCGGTTTCCCCGAAATCTCACTGCGGATCAATTTTTATTAGAATTCGCGAAATGGCAAAAGAGAAAAGAAAAGGGGGGGGGGGGGG